GTGATTTGAGATTGTTCGATAACCAGATCTTGTTGCTAAATCCTTTTCTTGAGGCTTATGCATTATTAGTATTCAGGTACCAATACATGTATCTCAGTCGTCCTTGTCAGGTTGATTACATTGGGCATGTAATGTGATCACCTAGTCAGAAGTTGGGTATACCTTTGTCAGGATGTCACTAATGCCCTTATGGGATCTTCTAAGTGAATGGTTTCTGTACTCACTACGGCCATAATTTGCCATGTCACCTGTTTAGAAACTGCTTCTACAATTCTCAGTAGACACTTTGAGTTATTAATTGACCATTGCTTTGTCGTTGTGTTGCTATTGGGCTTGATGGATAGTATGTCATTTCCCGGAGTGTATATTGGATCTGTCTTGTGGATTAAATCTGCTTTTAATGCCTTAATCCCTCATCAGATGTAGGCTTTTTTTTTTTTTGTTCTAGTAATAGGATTGTTGCAAAGATGTTGTTACTCGTTTTGTTGAATTTTAAACTCGTTGGGGGGTTTTTTTTTTTTTTTTTATTATTATTTATCACGAATTGGATGAAGGCTCGCTCATTCTGTAGCTGTTGAATTCTACCAGCGTGAACTGTTCTTAACCCAGGCTCTCTATGTATCCCAAATAAGTTTTTATATCCTGTAATATCTGTTTGAGAAAACTTCAATGTGTATAATGTAATAGATTGTTACTCTTATTTTTCAAATTATGCATATTCATGCCTCCGAATATTAAATCATTTTAAATTTCTTTGGCTCTAACACTACTGAAGTGTGGTCTAGAAATTTACTTGAACTATTTTGTATGACTTAGTTGATTAATTTAAATGAGCCCGTTTATCTCAATAATACTGCTCGATATGTAAGAGATTTTGTCTCAACTCAGACATGTGTCATGCCAGTTTACAGTCACATATTTGATCGATGAATGATCGATCAAGCTATTAAGTAAGTATGAAGTAATTGTTACTTTGGGTATTTGATAGTATGAGTATATAGTGTGACTATGAAGTAATTGTGTAGTGATTATTTAGAGTAAGGGTAACTTGAGTAAGTATGAGACAATAGATGTGAAATTATTCAAGATATATATTGGTGTCAGTAAGTTATGTAAGATAACTTTGTTTTTTTCTGCAAACCTGATATTGTTCTGGTTAAATCATCCCACCCCTTACCCATCAGAGTTAGCATTCAAGGTTGCTTGTTAAGACGGCAGTCATGTATGGTAAGGTGGGTATAATTAATGAGTTTGTTTTAATATATGACCTGTCGGATGATAGTCATATATATTTATATATATGTATATGTGGGTTTCTTGTGACCTGTCAAGACAATAGTCACACCGGGTGAGGTTAAAATATAGCCTGTCAGGATGACAGCCATATATGTATGCAGTTGTCTTGTGACCTGTTGGGATGGCAGTTGGATATATGTATAGTTTTCTTGTGACCTGTTGGGACAACTGCCAAACAAGAGAGAAAAATTCGATCCTAACAAGCTGTGCAGGTTGCTCGATAAGCAGAAGAATAACCCATTTGTGCTTTCATAGTAAAGTCTTTATAATTCTACATGTGATTCTTCATAATTATCTTCGTGCGATAAGTTGTATCATGCTAACTTAATACACATGCATCATATGGCGATTCCTTTTCCTTTTTCTTAATGACTCATTTAGGTTTGCGAGTGATACTTCGCACTAATCATCATGTATTGTATTGCACCAAGTTAATTTAATATCCATGCATTCTTGGATTTGATTTCTACCGATTGATTTAAGTCTGAAGGTGAATTCATATGAAATCAGCATAATATTTTTGCAAGCATATTTGCTACTGTTTCCTTCCAAAGGTCCAAATACATTTGAGTCGGTCTTTATGACCATGCTGGCTGTTTCTGCGAATTTATCGAAAGGTCTAATGCTTTGAGATTTGCCTTGTTCAATAAAAAATTCGTGTGCCTTATTTCTCATATCTTTAGTTCATTCACTTTAATGTTATACAGTTTAGGCGGCAATTCTTTGGAAAGGCCACTTGCCTCGGAAAGCAAAAGTTTTTTAGTTTATTGCTTTTAGGTTACACGTATTCTTGAATTTTAGTTTCTGAGTAGCTTGGTTGGTTTAATTATTAGATTCTCAAGGAAAGAATATTGCCATCCTGTACTGCGAATTTGCTTCCAGCAGAGATGGCTGTGGGTCTGCATGTAGTGTGCGTATTTATTATATTTGCCCCGACAATGCAGATATTGTTAGTATTCCATTGCGATTATAAATTAGGCAACTAATTCAGATCTACTTATTTGACTCCATTTCTGATTAGGATTAGGCTGATTCTGGCTTAACCGGATTGCCACCAGCATATCCCTGCTTAGCCATCTTTTCGATCTGTTGACTTACTGCGTAAGTCAACTTGAATGAATTTCATGAAAACTTAATAGCGAATCGAATTTTTTGTGGCAGCTTAATAAAAGGGTGGACTATATTTTTCATGTTCAACATATGAAAAAAAAAAGCATTTTGTTATAATATATCTGAAGTTGTACAACATTCTTATTCTCATGTATACAAATATTACTAGCTATAAGATTCCCTTAAGCTTGTTGGTTCTGAGAAAATAATAAAAAAAAAAAACTATTACGTAGTTCTCTAAATTTTTTTAATCAATTTGTACAATTTCGACTTCTCTCATATAATTATCTTTTCTGCCGTCACTCCTGTCGGCTTCATTTTCACCTGATTCTACATTGGAGGAAGACCATTCTGTGGAAGTCCACCAAGAAGGTGCATCGTCCTTTGGACGTCTGTTATAGTCAATATAATTTTCATTATGCCAACTTTTTCGGAATAAATCCACTTCGCCACAACGGTGCAGAATGCATGTAATCTAAATTTTCAAAATAATATTAGCCGAAACGCATTGAATACAAAATTGACAAACTAACTAACTCGAAAATTTAAAATGAATCATAGATCTCCATGGTTTATTTTACATTATTGGTATCATAAATATTTGCTGGTCTCTCATCGTTTTCTCGCTCATCATTAGCAAATTCTTCATCTGTATCAGATTCCTCTGCTGATTGTAAAGCGAGATCATTTACAGCACTCTCTAAATCACGTAGATATTCATTCCAATAGAGTCTAGGAAGTTGACAATTACGAAGAACTGGATCATTCACATAAATCATATGCTTTAATCCGTTAATTCGACGGCGCATTTTCTTAAAAAAGTAATTAATTGAGATAAAGTATTGGTAAATAAAGATCTTTATTTGAATGTTCAGTTTTAAAAAAAGAGATTACAGTATAAAGCAATATCAAATTACTTACCCTAGCATTTTGTGGGTAATGTGTTCTCTCCATCGATATTTCACCAATCGATCCCGTTGCTCATTCTTCCAGACACCACGACGATTCTTATAAAGTTGTTTTAAAACAGCATTAATTCGTCATCATTAAATAACAATGTAGAACTAATCTTTTCTTTAATCGTAGGTTGATCTAAAATTGAGACCACTTCATCACGAAACACATGTTTAAAGATCGGACCCATTGGTTTGGGAGATACTCTTTTCGATTCATTGGCATGATATGATGGTAAATTCAATTCGCTAAGTTGAGGATAAGTTTCAATTTGTGTGGGAACATTGATTAGTTGTCGACCAGTAGTATCTCGTATTTCAGTACCATTATCGGTGTAATAACTTGTGTAGATCCTGATCTTTCAGCTCGCATAGCCTGAAGTTGACAAATTAGATAATAAATCTGCCTCATTAAGGATTAACATAAGTTGAATCAATTTGATCCTCTTGTTAGATAACAGGATGAGGTTTGATCCTCTTGTTAGATAGCAGGATGAGGAGAATGATTCTCTTGATTATTATGTAAATTGTTGTCTTTTTGATATTCAGGATAACGGTTACTTCTTCGATATTCAAGGGAACGATGAATTCTTCTATAATCAAGGGAATAATGATCTTTATATCTTGTAAAATAGTCTCTAAAAGATCTTTCACGACTTCTACTTCGAGAATGGTGGGGAATGTCGATTTCTATATGAATAATCTTTTGATACATTACTATCATTACGTGAATAGTATCGATCACTGCTTCGGCTATCTCTTCTCGTGTATCAGCTTGTACGAGAATTTCCCCGTTCATCAGGGTAAGATTTGGCTTGAATAGGATGCGATCTCGAGGGGAGAAAATTTTCTGAAACTTCTTTCTTTACTCTCCTATCAAGTGGTGTAAGATCGATATGACTACGTGGCATGATGAAAATAAAATATAAATACACTGTATGTATTCTAATTCAAAAAAAAATTGAATGTAAGGAGCATGAAAAAGTGAAGCGATATATATATCTCTTTATATAATAGACCAGATACACTATGTGTTCCTTTATTTTTTCGATATTTGAGTAGTGTTGCATAGACTAAACAATGACGGTACATCATTGAAACTTTTAATGGGTGACAGTACAGTTCATAAACTAACGTCATACTAACACATGTCATAATACTCACAGGTTGAATCAATGAATATCGGGTGCATACCAGGAGACAAGTTTCCTGTTATGTACCCATAGATCCGCCAAATAACTGCTGAATAACAGCAGCATATTGGCAGAATATTGGTAAGATATCGGGAGGTAGATCGATATCGGCAATATAACAGCACAATATTAGGATACTCTGATATCTTACTCTTAGCATTGTGGGCCTAAAAGTAAGATATCGGGATATCCCAATATTTTGCTAATATCTATCTACCTCCCGATATCTTTCCAATATTCTACCAATATGCTATTGTTATTCAGCAGCTATTTGGCGGATCTATGGCAGACTATCGGGTACATAACAGGAAACTTGTCTCCTGGTATGCACCCGATATTCATTGATTCAACCTGTGACTTTAATGACGACTTTCGGTTTTGTTTATTAAAGTTTAACTTAAATTTGTAATACTTCAGAATGGTGACTATTTTATATTATATAGTAACTACTTATTGTTATTTTTTATAGTAAATAGTAAATACGCAGTAACTATGTATCATTATATTTTTTTATAGTATATAATGGCTATTTATCATTATTTTTTTTATACTTTTAAAAACTAATACATCATCTATAAATATTAAACAATTTATCATGCACGGTTTTATTTGAATTTGATAAATTAAATTTTTATCGATTCGAACTAAAGGAGTTACAAATTTCGTTCATTTCTTGGATAAATGAGATTTTAACCTACACTCGTAAAATCGCATAGGTTTGCTTATCAGTTGATCAACATGTCACCTACATCTATATTAAATTGCAACGGTTGGTCCTTTTCAATCACCGTTTTCAGGGTACTTTAAAGGATTCTGTACATACAATGTAGTACACATTAAGAAATACAAATACTTACTTGTGAGCAAGTTCAATTTGAGATTGGAGGTAAAACTGCCGAGAATCTTGTCGTCAAAGATAACCTTTCATTCCACTTTTAATATATAAGTTAGTATGGTAGATCTTTACATTTCTTGATTTATATAGTAGTGGTTTTAAAAATAATATATGTAATATCAAAGTTCTTTTGTTAACTCGTTTAAATTATTTATTTTGAGAAAAAACCTAGGTTGAAACATTTGCTTGTTCTCAAGATTATTCTGAATGCTTTTGAGAATTTCCTCAAAAAATTCTAATGCCTGTTGCTCAAAACATTTACGTGCTTCCTGCCTCAAATTCTCAAGAGTACTATTGCCCTGCACTGAAGTATTTGAATTTATCATATCAGGTAAATAAAACAATGATATCATAATTTCAAGTGAATTTTTGAATGCATTTATATTACTTGATAACTTTAAGAAATTTCACTTTTTTGAGGTAATGTTCAATAGGGTTATGTTGACTCAAAATTTCATTTGTTTGAGTTACTTTGTTTCTGGGCAATTGGCAGAAACACTGTTCTATCATTTTTTGTAAAGTTCAATATATTGAAATATTTCACCTTCTTCAGATTCTTTTTTCTCTGGAGACACGAATAACAAATAAATCTCTGAAATGAAAGGTTGAAATGGCGGTCTTCACTTGAAATTTCCCAGATAATTAGTCCAAAGCTATAATAACACTTTGTTATTAAGTTGAGCATGAAGACATTAGTAGCGTGTGACCATAGTAATTGCAATAGTTAATAATTTTTTAATTTATAATATAAATATGAAAACCATATTGTTATTATTTATTTGCTTTAAATAAAGATGAAATTGAATTTTAAATAAAGACTACAGTTAAATTTGAATCCTAAAATAACAAAGTTTATGATAATAGTTGAAGTTTTTTTTTTATTTAAAGTTTTTTGCTAATACACATACAAATGCATTCAAATATCTGTGCTATCTAAGTTAAAGATTACATTTTTTTGAAGATCTTGCAATTGTGCTATATTGATCTCTCCCTAATAAAAAAAAAAGACAATGCACTAAACTAAAAAAGTAAAATAGAATTTTTTAACACAGTTTTAGTAAAAATCTTTGTTTCCTAGCAAAAAGAATTTGAATTTCAAAAGCAAAAGATTAAATATATCAGAATTAAAAGATTTTCGCACAAGCACAAGCAATCACCCTACAGACTGCACATTAAAAATTTCTTGATTATTTTTCACCAGATTTCTTATAAATTGATATAACAATCTCTTTCCAAAATAAGAAAAATAGATAAAGTAAATAATGCACTAAAATAGAAAGTAAACCGAAAATTTTTAGTTCTAACAAAAATCTTTTGTTTTGCTTAGATTTCGAACTTCGGAGATTCTTGTATTCAAAAAAAACAAAAGATTAATATATTAGAATTAAAAGATTTTTACACAAGCACAAGCAATTACACTACAGACTGCACATTAATTTCTTGATTATTTTTTACCAGATTTCTTATAAATTGTGATCCTTTTCAAATAAAAAAAATAGATAAAGTAAAATGATACACTAAAATAGAAAATATCAGTTCTGGTAAGAATCTTTGTTTTACTTGGATTTTGAATTTTAGAGGTTCATATGTTTTAAAAACAAAAGATCAATATATTGGAATTTAAGATTTTTGCTTAAGCACAAGCAATCACAATACAGACCATGTATTAGAAATCTCTCAACATATTTTATTTTCACCATATTTTTTATAAATAGTGAACTATTTAGCTTGCTTGTTATTTTAAATCTAAAACTATTCACTATTGTAGTCAAATAAAATAAATATCTTAATCAAATGTGCTTTTAAAAAAAAATTTTAATTAATAATAGAGTTCTATATGAGACTTTGTATAGCCCTGAAAAATTTAATGCTAGTATCGAACAAGAAGATACAAATGATGATGTTCTTCTATTTGACTAGAGTTTATTTGAAAAGATACAAGAAATAATTGCCAGATCTATTGAGAAAATAGATAATGAATTTCTTGATGATGAATTATTTAAATGTGACAATAATATGGAAACACTTGAGAAGAAATCTAATAAGCCTATTCTTTCAGGTTCAAGTAATACTAAAAAATATACAAATTGTGTTTTTATTGACAATAGTAATGATCTAAACATAATTTAAAGATGCAATAAAGAAGCAGTTCGAAGTGTAAAACAACTGTGTGGCATATGGGAGATTAAAGTTCTGGTCATAAAAGATGCTGAGAATGAAGATATAAAGGTACACAACATTACAACTATGACCAAAAGATTTTACATAATGATATAAAATTAAAATTATTAATTTAAGAAAGCAATATTAGTATGCATCACTGCTTATTTTATAATAAATTTAAAAAGCTTGTTACAAGAGATAAAACATGTTTATTACATATACAAAAAGTTTATAATTAGGTTATTCAAATACTATGCCATGAGTTGCTAGAATGCCCAGCAATTAATAATTATAATGAACTATTAACCAAATTATTAGATAACAGCCACTTTGTTTTGTCTACACTGACTGTTTTGTGATGAATAGGGATTATCTGCATATTCAAAAAAATAGATAATTAATCATGTCTAGAAAAAGAAAAATATAATGTCAATATTACAGCTGTGTTAAAATTATTTAGTAGATGGATTGAGCAAATTGCTGAATCAAACAATGACATTAATAAGATTAATTTATTAAAAGAACTTATTAATCTTTTTAATAACATTACTACAAATACTTCTGAGTCACAAAGTGCTATTATTATACATTTTACTATTTATACTGATTCTATAGTTTCTAGTCTTTTCCTAATTAAAACATTGTTTGAACTAAAAAAAATTAAAATTAATGAAAAGACACAAGCAACACAATTAAAACCCACCACATGTAAAAACTTTGGCAAAATACTAGCTCACTCTATATTACAAGAGCAATCTAAACTTAAACAAAAACTATTATCACTTGAAGAACTGGAATTATTAGATAAATATTATATCACAATGTCGTGCCCTTTATAAACTTTTTTTTGAGTTGATTACAACTCTAAAAGAAAAAAAAAATCAAGTTATAGCAAGAAAAAGAAAAGAGCATAGCTTACCTCTACTACAATTAGATAAACTCAAGTAAAAAGTTACTCTTTTTTTGTATCAGTAATATTTACTATTGTATTTCCACAGTAGAAAATTTGGTTTATATACATGCTTTTTTCTTTTTGTCAACAACCAAGAATGATGGGAACCTTGTATAAAGTTCTTTATGCAGTCCAAGTAGTGGAATATATTAGAGATCACAAAATGCATTTTCAAAATAAGTGAATATCAGATACAAATCCCAAATCAAGGCTTAATCTAAATCCAAATAGTTTGAATTATACTATTATAGATAATATTGATATAAAAGACAAGACCTTTAAGTATAGAAATATTTATAATATAGTCTGTAGTACTACACATACAACACTATAGATAGTCTTTCAGTTCTAATATTTAGAGACTGCTGATTTACTTAGTAAATTGTCAAAAATTCAAGATATTTTTGGTATAAGTCTTGTTATAAAAGAATGACAAATAAAAGTAGATGCAATTTTTAGTAATTAATTAGCCAAGAATCAAATTTTGGTATCAAATATGGGGTGAGTCAGTAGAAATGCACCATGTACTTTTTAATAAACTTTTTTTGAATTTTCAAACAAAAATAAATTAGTAAAAACTTAACCAAATTTAGTAAAATTTTTTTGAAATAAATTTTACAAGTTTTTTGAATTGGTTTATTAAATTTATTTAAGTTGTTGTTGAATTATTCTTGTTTAAAGGTTCAAAAAAATTTAGTTAGAAAAAAT